GTTCATCTGAACACAAAGTTTTATCTCGAAACAAAAGTTTCATAGTGATCTTTTCATAACTAGTGAAAAGATTCCCGCGGTAGATGAAAAATAAATCTTCCGAATCAATCATGAAACTAAATCAAATTGCTGATGTTTTGGTGGTTAAAAAGCTTAAAATATGCATCACAAAACAATTTTAATGGGGAAGAAATGAAAAAAAAAATGTACATTTAAATTGATTGAAAAACTTTTTCATAGGAACCAACGTGTACAAAAAGCATCAAATATAAGCAATTCAGATGCAATTTCGAAGACAAAATGAACAAACTAATGAATAAGAATATTGAATAAAACTAATGGATTATAATCAATTATAACTGATTATAATTGTATCAAAAAATGGACGATAAGATAATCGATTACAATCGTTTATAATAGATTATAATTAATTATAATTTGATCTTAATAGGAGAGATTATAGTCAATTAATTATTGATTTAAATCGATTGTTTTTCAATTTTAGTAAGACTGGTACTAAAATCGTAATATAATCGATTATTAACGCTTGAAACTGGATGCGGGATGTTACATTCACTTTTGCTTAACCTGAAAAATGGAGAAAAATAGTCATTTACTATTTGTTTTTTGGTCTTCTTTTCGTTTGTTGACTTAATGAAATCAATTTCATATTCGTTTTTGTTACAACACTTGCACGTTTTGAAAACAATTGCCGGTTTTTGATAGATATATGTTTAAAATTTCGCAGACAAAGTTTGTTTCGCTTTTGAGTGAAGTTTTAAAGCTAATAATATGTTTCTGTAGCTTCACTACTCATTTATTTCGTAATTGACGACTTTATATCTCACTTTAAGTTGGATTTTTGTGTTTATTTAGCTCCTTATTTTTATAACAAATTCGACATGATTGTCAACTGATTCTGCTACACTCCTATAGTTATATGTTAACAAACACAGATTCCCAGCACTATTCCATTACGTTTTTTCATTGTTATTTCAACAGTTAGATGCCCGTCACGTAAATAGCAATTTGCTAGAGTGTTTCTTTTTACCACACCATGTTTACACTACTGCTATCTTTAGCGGTTTTTGCATGTTTTTGTTGATAAACATTTGTAATTTGGAGACATTTCGATAAAACGATCTGATGTTTTGTAAAAACAAGGATCATTCATTTTTTTGAAAGGCGTATACAACTGGGTTTCCTTATTTTTGGTTTTTATGAAAAAAACTGAGCAGATCACAAAATTGCAGTTATGTCAATGTTTAGTTTTCTGAGATGTTAGTGATGATTGATGATATTGTTGATTTTTTTGGAAAATGAAAACAAGCATGGTATCGCAATTTAGCTGTAACTTGATTAGTGTTTTTTTTGTATATTTGCTTTTTCATAGAGCCTGATCACAGAATCGCAAAATAGATTGCTAAAAATGACATTATTTTTAAATAAACAAATTCTTTTTTTTTGAAAAATTGATTTTGTTGGAATGGTCGTCATTTTTTTCAAATATTTCTGTAATTTTATTTGATACTTTTTACGCCATTTTGCATGCAAGATCGGAGAACTGCATCTACTGTTATTTCAAAAATTCAAAGCAAAAAAACAATAAATTGAGGAATTGATTTTTTTCGTTCCCCACAGTCTGAACGAATTTTTTCAATCCTCACAATCTTAACAGACTTTTCTATCCCTACAGACTGAATTGTTCATTGTTCCTTGCAGTCTAAACGGATTCTTTGTTCCTCAGAGTTTGAACAGATTTTTTTGGGCCCACACTTTAAACGGGCTTCTTGGCCCCTCTGTCTGAATGGATTTTTTACCCCACCCTCTGAACGTTTTTTTTTTCGGTCCCTACAGTCCAATCATATGTATCTAGTTCTCGCGGCTCCAAGCAACTTGCTCTGAGTCCCCACAATTCAAGCCGGATATCTTGGGTTCCATAATCTGAATCTACCAAATTTTTTCAAATTTTGGTCCCCCATGGTCTAAGCATGCAAATTTTTGGTCCCTACTGTCTGAATTCAAAATCCCGACCGAGACCCGGGTCCAACAAATCTTTACTTTTTGCATGATTTTGAAAACATCACTACTTTTTAGCTTAAAAACTAGGTGGCAGTTAGCATACAAAAACTAAGATGCAATTTGAGTCTGGATTAGAATGCGGTGCGAATTTGAAAGATCATAGTCAACGACAGATCAAATCGGGAAAATCGAAAAACTTTTGTTTAAATATGAGCAAGCTGATTATTGGACCTACAAGCAAAGCTTGCAGAGTCTATGTGTTTTAGTTTCCGCCTGCACACTACAATGCTGCCACGGGGTCAACTGATTGTGGAGAATGTCAAGTCCAGTGGGATGGATCAACTGCCCCCCAAGGGGTCATATCTCATGATGTTCCCCATGCACTTGAAGGGGGGCACTGGAAGTCCCGCGCGACTGATTGCGGTAAATAGTGGAGCTAAACTTGAAAAATTCCACTTAATCTTCGGTGTGATTCTGGCATCGATGTTCATCGTCTTTTAACCCAAAACCTGGGCAGTGAAATCAGATCAGTTAGCTTATAACTCACCCTTTACAACTTTTCATCTTTGCATTGGTTAACTATTGATTACCAGATTGAATTGTTCTTCATTTGCATTCACATCATGTGTTTACAATCAGTCCAATTTTTAGGTTAGCCATATTTCTCGGGAATTTCGGAAAAAAATTACTATTTAAATAAAACTTTCGGAGCCTATGCAAAAAAAAATAATTTTTGAACGAATTGCTTTTATGCGCTCTTTGGTCTAAATATGATATATTTTGTATGTTTTGCTTATATTTTGCTCTAATTTTTTTGCATATTTTGCTTTAACTAGGACAATCAATTTTGGAAAAATTTCAAAATTTGGACCGAACAAAAATGGAAGCGGTAAAATAATTTTAAGAGGGCTAGGGACGTAAAAATTGGGACCCCACCACCCACACCTACCGCGCTGTTGATTATTATTTTAAACCATCATCTGTTACATTTGGAATAAAAGTTGGAAAGATATGTACAATTTATTAATCATTCACACAATACTTGAAGATAAGATGTACATGTTAATTTTAACCTATTTTCATCGGTGGGCGTTTAGCGTTAGTACTTCCAACATCGCAGTTTCTCACACCCTTTTCAACTGGAATTCAACCCTAAATGTCTTGATTTTTGGCGCCAAAGGAGCCTCCAGAGAAACATTCAGGGTTTTTAGAACGTTTATGAAAACTGGTTTGATCAGCAGTTTGTGTGTAATGTGTTAAACCCTATATTAGCAATGCAAGGTTGGACAGAGTACTCGCTAGCCCTGAGCAGGAAAGCCTTATTTCGGCCTTCAGGAGTCTTCTATATGTTTCATAGTTCAAAATCAGACCAAAATGCATCTTCAACGAAGTTTTTAAGCTTATTCTTGACGCTTTTGGTCTGCGTAACGAAATCGTAGATTGAAAAGTTACAATTATTTGTTGCATAGCTCAAATTTGAGAAAAATATTGCAATTTTTTTTCAACGGAATTTTTGTAAAAAATGTCTGCTTTTTCTAGTTGTTATGCACAAAATAGTAACATCATCTACGATTTCGTTTAGGTAAGTTTAATTCTAGCCCGGCAATTACAATTCAAATTTTTCTTCAGGCTATGCCATCTGTTCACATGGTTGCCGGCCACCAGATCTTTCGGGTTTCTTTTCCTTCTGCGCCACAGTTGGGTGCCTCGAGGGTGACCTGGATGATTTGATATTTCGGCACACAGCTGGGCTCGATCATGCCTTTGGGTCCGTCGCCGACCTCTTCTTTGATTCGGTGCTCACACATGAGCTTGAAATACCTAAAACTAAATTAAACTTATCATGAATAATCGTAAGCCCGAAAAGTGTCCCTCGCCCATATATCCATGTAGCTTTTTATTCGCTAGGTAAACTCAAAAATATATCCATCCCTTCTACAAATCCAACCAGTTTTTCAGCCCCTACAAGCGCGAGTGAAGGATGCGACATTCGAAGTTGCCACCCCCCCCCCCCCCCCCCACCTCAAGATGAACAGTTATTGATCCCCACTATTAATTTTACCGCTTCTTTTAAACAACGCATTTCAATTATTGCCTTTTCCTTTCGAGCAACAAATAAAATTGAAACCGTTTCCACGGGCAGCGCAATTAACTTAGAAACAATAATTTTAGCTCCACGCATCAGTAACACCCCTTTTCTTAACAAAAAATTGGATTCGAATTTAAAAAATGTTATATTAAATGCGTTATTCGAAATCAATAGCGTTATTCGAATTCGTTTAAAAGTAACACGGGATTATATTATTTGTACCTGAAACTGGACGTGGTCTGTAATGGCTTCCCAAGGGATGAGGTGGCGATGATGCCTTGGTTGAATGTTTTGTTGTCCCGCTTGTAGATACAACCATACCAGTCGTACATGTCTGGCTTAACCAGTTCCCCCTGCAGCTCACGGCACGATCTGCCACTATAGTCACTGTCCACGAACAGGTCTTTGAGACCTGAAAAACAAGGTCAAACAAAATTCACACCAAATGAAGTACAACATTAAGTAAACTTTGAGCTTAAGTGAATGGTTTTTGCGTCTCAGTCTCAGGGACTGTGGCGCATCTATATCCTCGAAAAGTTTTCCCGCGGCGCAAAATCCGGATTCTCTAGAGGGGTTTCAGGTCGACCAAATTCGATCTTTTTAGGTCAGCCAAATTTACCCTGCTCCAAGACCTCCGGAAACTGCGCTTTTGGCCAAAAACATTTTGTATTTCAGCGCGCTCTCACCCGTAAAGTTCCTGTATGTTGGTATCAAAGGCACCTTAATAGAAATCAATGTCCAAAAATAGTACTAAATGGAGGACGGTTTTGGTTGGTCAAGTAGTCGAATACCTCAGGCTCATCCTTCTATACCCTTCATCCGCTCCTCAATAAACCTAGGCCCCCAATTTATTTTAAAGTTTGAGGTGGACGAAACGCAATTTTCAAGCCTAAAATAGTCGACAAAATTTCAATCTAAACCCCTTTCAAAAATCCGTTTCAGTCCACTATTCTCAGGGAGCTTATAAAATTTTCATTTAACATACCCATTTCGTTTCCTTTAACGTCGCAGTCCTTCTTCTCCTTGTCTACGTTATGTTGTTGCTCTTCGCATTTGGGAAGAATTTTGTCCCAATTATCCCGCAGAACCTGCATCTGCCTGGAACAACTCCTGCGTGCTTCTCCAGCATCGCCCACAGGAGCCCCAAAAGACACCCGAGACACCACGGTTAGCATCAACAGCATCACACCGGGAACCATCTCAGGGCTAAAAAGGAGTTCAATTGGACGAATTTAGTTAAATTCCTTCATGGTTGTATAGCTGGTTAGAAACAAAAGCGTTAGGGAAAGCGTTGAGTCGGTGAAAAGAAAGATAGGCGAGTCGAGATCCGCCTGTTATTAATGCTAGACGCTTGCAAGAATGAATCAACATTACTAGGTTTAGAAAAATAGCAAAAAGGGCTTGGAATAGCAGCAATCGAGTGCTCAATGCCCTGTCTCTGAATCCAGAGCTCATAGTTTCGAGGCCACGCATGGCCCCCGCCCGTTCCGTTTTGAGACCATATATTCACAATCAAAACAAAACTTAAGAGTTTTTAATCTCTTCCAGGTGTGCTGCTATCGTGCACTTGACTAACCCCACCCCCTCGACGGTACAAGACAACTTCTATATCTCGAGCAACACGTACTGCAAACCATTGGATGGTGAGACCGAAAGTTATAACCTAAAGTTGAATGCCGATCTTTTTAACCCGCATTTACCTTTTCTCATTCCATTATCTTTCTGATTCTATCATCTCAAAAAGCAGAACCTTGGTTTCCTCTGTACTTCGCTTCTATCTAAACGGGCCGCAAAATACGGCGAGAATTTGTCCATGAGATGAGTTTTTGTCAATGGCAAGAATATGTGACCTTGACATTAGGTTAACCAAGAATAGTTTACGTGCATTTCTAAGCAACTTTAAATCTAATAAACGCTTGATGTGGGTGTTAATTTGATCTAAAACGACTAAGCATATTTGAGATAATATTTAGCACAATTAACTCTGTGTTACTCTTGAGCCGTAGCAAAATTTTATTAAGATACTTTAGCTGGGGTGGGGTTAGAAAACGTTCTAGAATTATTGAACATCAATTTTAGTGAACAATATTTCTGCGCCGCATTTTAATTTAAATTTTTAATGTGATAAGTCTGTTGCAATATGTGATGATTTCAAATTACGTCAAAGTAGATTAAAAGTTATTTAATAAATAAAAGTTATATAAAATAGCTTTCATTCTGGCGACATTTTATAAAGCCATTTGAGCGTTTTTCTCTTCAGTCTGTCTGAAAAACTTGAAGCATTTTTCAACTTTTTTGATATCAGAAGAAATTAAAACGCTTAAATGGAATTACATGTGTCTGGCGCTGGGTTTGATCATTTTATCAGATTTCATCAGATTTCGGCCCTTACCTGGTAATAAATTTGACCACCGACGCCATTTTTGTTGTCTTTTTGTTTATATCACAAGAGAACTGCACGTTTTTAATTTCAAACACCGAATAAAGTCTAACTAGTAGTTTTCTTACTTTTATACGTGGTTGCTACGAAAATCTTGAACGAGATATAGTTTTCGGTGGTTTTATTTTGCAAAAACTGCAAATCAGGTTGGCTGAACGTTTGTGACTGCATCATGTGACTTTATTCTCTCGTTTTCATTTCTCGTTTTTCTTCACGCAACATGTAATTATTACATTCGGATTATAATCCGAGACCCTTGATCGTTTATTTCTGAGAAATGATTTTCACAACAAAAATGTGATCTATCAGATATTTTTTAGTGATTTTCATTCATTTGACATGCGTTTTAAATCAAGGCAAAAGAAAGCAAGGACATCCAGTTACTGAGTGTATACAATACCGGAAGGTCCCATGTCAATTCATCTCCGCAACGCAAAAAATAACCTGATAAAAAACAAAATCGGTTTTTTTTAAACAAAATTCGTTTTTTTGATTAAACTCCACTGAATGATTAAAAACTGGGACTATTCCCTCACTATGGCGCCTTCTAACCAAGTTCCCCAGTACCCCGCTATCCCCTCTATCAAGAAAGAAATGAAAGTTCAGCTAATACGAATGCATCTACCCCACCCCTCTGGGGATTCGAAATCCTGCCGACCCACAGGGTGTCCCTTTGGTACTATTTTATAAGATCCATCTTTGGCTGGCCTTAAAAATTTTGTGAAGCTCCTTCCCCCACTATTCCCTCAATTGACAAACTTTTCAACAACTAAGCATACACGAACGTCTCCCCACCCTTCCTGGCTTCGGCCGCTACTGCTTAAAGCTACTGTTTTAAACATCTGTTTATGGCTGACCGACTCGATTTTTTTTGTAAAGGCGCCTTAGATTCTAAGATAAAGTAAATTTAAAGGGCAGTGGGCGCCAAAAAACGCTTGTTTTCCGTCAAAAATTTTCAAAAACGCCTAAAAACGGCGTTTTCGTCCTGTTTTTTTTCGACCAAAATTTTAGTTGCAGTTTATTTGTAACAATGTATAGATTCGGTTTGAGAGGCCACTCATTGCCCAAAAGAAAGCTTGAACCCTTAACCCAGTTACTTTCATTCAGAAACTCGCTGATACTCCGAATGTACCAGTGTCCACCCGGTTGTGTCCAGTTTTCACAAAAAACCAATCATCCACAGTGGTAATTTTTTCACAAACCGGGAACAATTTTCACAAATACAAAATTATTGACTAAGTGAAGGCATTGTAACACCGTGGTGTTATCAGTCCTCAAAAAGTGTGTGAAACATTGATTGAAAGCGCCCACAGTAAACATTCCTTCAACCGAGGTGCGAGCAGGGTTGTCGGCAATTCCAGCATCGGAATGAGAATACCGTCAGTGGTTCTACATGCTTTTCTAATAAAAAGGCCAGTCAAGTTTTTTGAGACTCAATTTAGGAAACCGTCTTGCGAATTATCTTAAATATAAAGATATTTAGATTCCATTCTACGGATTTGCGGCACAACCTCTACCATGGTCCTCTTTTCTGTTGGGTAAAGAAATATCCTTAACATAGCCAGAGAGTAACGTTTACCATCATAGTATATTAAGTACTCAAAAAAGCTTATGCGCTCGTTGATCGGCAAAAAACGCGCTTTAGCTGGTATGTCTGGGACATAGTTTTCACATTGCCAAGCTTTAAATTGACTCACACATTTCATGTCTTTGACATTACACCTGGAACGTCTTGTTATATGTCCTGAGGGTGAGGGAAACTGAACACTCAAAAATCAACCAACAAGCAGGTGCACAGCCAATGACAACTTTCCATAGTTATCATAATCATAAGCGAGCGTCGTCGCGTGTGTGATGATAAAAGTCTCGCCAATTACCATTTTGTTGTTCGGATTACATAACTGAACTGGGTTTTTGGTTAGAGGTATTAAATTTTTCTCTGAGAAGGCTTGGAATGTCCTTATTTTGAGATCAAGCATTGATTTTTTCCTTTCTGTAAGCGGTTTTAGAAAAAAAGCTGATTTTGTTAGTCAACCAGCTAAATTGACGTAGCATCAGTGGAACTGAAACAATTAGAGGTCCAATCAGCTTTTTTCACTGCCAAGCTGAGACGCCGGGACAATCTTGGTTAAATACACGAGTGATTGCTCGCGCAGTCACATTAAAAATATCTTTTCGATTTTAGATTGAGGTTGAGTTAGCACATTGTTTCGATAATTATTAGGACTTTTTTAACCTTCTGCACGGATATGGAGCAAGTGGACGTTGTTATTTCCACCAAAGATGTAAGGGAAGGATAATTACTTTTCCCTTTTGAGGAGGAAAACTTGGCCTGCACCGTGCAAAAGGACAATGTGCGTAGTTTCGCACTCAGTTTTTGTACAGTTTATAATTCTAGGCGTTGTGTTAGCGTTGACTGTTTCTTTGGTTTTGATTTACCTGGAAAAGTTTTTTAAAATTCTGCGTTTTGATGTGTTCCTTCAATCAATTGTTAGTAAAAATGGGTTCGGAAATCACCACTTGCACTTGAACGAACGTGTACGACGACTTATTCTCCTTCGTGTTCCTAAAGCTTGATTTAGGATAGCTGTTAATTTTGGATTATGCTCCTCTGACACCGATTGAAGTAAATATACAAACAAAACTGTTTTTGGTTTCCGAATTTTGCAACTTCACTGGTGGAAAACTGTAAGCTTTTTGAGGTGGGCGAACACAATGTTTCAGGTTGCCATAATTTTTGTTTAAATACCCTGAGAGCATCCTTGTAAATCCGGCCGAAGTTTGCAATCTTTGCTTCTTAAGCTTTTCCGTTTACCGATGTCTTGTTTAGGTCAGCTTGAAGATGGTCGAAAGAGGTAGTTACGATTTAACTACGCTGCTAAGCTGATTTTCCGATGATTCTTTTCCAAGTGGTTGCTATCACTACTGGAGAAATTTAGTTAAGGTATTAGATTCTTCCTTTTCGACTAAGTCTTGAGCCGTGTTGCAGCGCAAATATAAAACAATAGTACAAATGCATATACACTCAAATGTAAGCGAGAGTATAAGTGCATATAAAGTTGAACCAAAATGTAAATGCATATAGGGACAGTAGACAAACGTATACATGGTGCGTCCCGGCGGGTTCGGCGCCGGTTCGAATCCCGACTAGGTCATTTCCTTTCTAGAACACGAATGTGCACCGAACCTGATGGGATGCTCCGTAACCAGGTTCGGTCCCCCCAAAACCCATTTTAACCGTCTTTTCGCTCTAATTTGGTTCAGCCTTGATTAAGGCTGACCTTTAAAAAGAGCAATTTGTCTCAAGGACAAATACTGGCCATTTTTGCAGCTTGCTTTGAGTTATGCAGTTTATTGTGGCCGATGTTACCGATGATAAAGCTTGTTGAAAATTATAAATTATCGTTATATTTTCAAACTTCCGGAGTTATTTTGCCGAGAAAATACTCATTAATTAAAGTGTTTGAAAACCGTTTTTTATATAATCGTGGAGATTTACGCGCACATTTTGGCGCCCCACAAGGGACTCGAACCCTTGAACCCTTGACCAACACCAGCTTCAACCGAGCAAACATTTGTCAAACGAGCAGCAGTTACAATATCACGAAAGCCATTCAAACCAAAAACCCATTCTCGCTGAGATACGTGGAAGGCGTCGAACCCAAACAGTTGTGGAAAGTACGGAAGAGAAGGGAGACTTAGAGTACCAGAAAAGAGGAAGCGGTATTCCACTCTACGAGGAAGAGGAGTTGCCAGCTAGCAATTCCTATTCTAACCCCAGTCCGCGTTCGGAGTTTCTGCCATCCCGGGTGAATCCTTGTCCAGTTTGGAGGAAATACCCTCTACCCCAGTGAATAGAGAAAGTGAAGAGAATACTACATCCAGCGAGGACTACACAATTGAGGGTATACCATCTCCGCGGCAAATTGCACAGCAGAGTAGAAATAGACCCAACAATATAGAGGCAGCAGTGGTGCAGAGGCGAAACTATCACTGGATTCAAAGACCACAGGCCGATATCCCATAAGCATCTCAACTTCCCGAACTCATCAAGGAACTTGACGACCAGTTTCAGGTTTCAGTGGTTACGAACAGTTTCAGTGGTTTGCTTCAGTGGGACTTGTGAGTGCAGTTGTTCAGACTCGTGAGAGAGAATTTTCCGGTGCCGAAAATCTCCAAAATCGTCAAAAACTGTAAGACTAGTCTAATCTTTACAAACCATTCTTTGCAATAAAATTACGTACGATGTGTTATTGTGTATCCCAACTCAAAGCAAGCTACAAGTGGTAATTTTTTCTCGATACCAAAAATTTTTGGATATTTTTTGAACAGAATATTGATCCAGAAAAACGGAACATAGACAAGAGGTACTGGACTAGTTTTTTGGATTGGTTTACGACTCGAACCTGCTGACCAAAGTTTTCCGAAAAATTTTGGGAAAAAAGTAAAAAATTGCCAAAAATTCCTCAAAACGTCCCCATAATTCTGCGAAACTGTGCTGTAACATGACACCAACCTTGTAGTAAGTGGTCTGGTAGCGTAATATCAGGCAAATTAAGTTGAGTTTTTTCATCCTCAGGTTTTTTCCGCGTGTGTTGTTGGAACTTAACCAATTTGCCTGATCCCATACCCACATTGGTGAAACTGAAAGCCAGTACGCTTCAAGTAATTCTAAGCCGTTTCAGCTCGTCCGATTATTGACTTCGTTGCGCGACACTAATGTTAAGTGGCCAGGTACGGTGATATTAAGTGAGTTAAGTTGAATTCTTTCATCCTCAGGTTTACTCCGTGTGCGTTGTTGGAGTTCAACCGACCTACTTAATTTCCCCACCCCATTGGTACTTTAGCGTAACGTAGCCGTCGCATAGGTCTCTTGAGTGTATGGTATTCATTCTAGGAGCTAGTTCTCTAGATCACGCGCTCCGTACACTATCCGCGCCGTCTCAAAAGCGCGTGAAAGAGACTTGTTTCACAAAGCCCGGTTTAAGCTTGGACTTTAACGCCAGGTAAAAGTATTTGTGGATTTACTTGAGTGAAAATACAGTTT